ATATCTTATCTTGCCAATATCTTGCCACAGTATTCAGTGGTAAAATATTTTTGTATAATAATTACTTTATAAATAATTATTTTCTTTGATTCAACATTTCATGTCCATTTACCTATTTAATAGTATTCTAACAATCATGATAATGTACAGAATACAATAAAATAAGACCCTTAACTCCACAGAGAAAAAAATGGTAAACTAAAAATTTAAGGCAAAAATATCCTAAATACAGTTATATATTTAAGGTAACAAAATGATTGCATCTAAAGTCATATGATTTTGCTGGCATATTGAGATAATAGATAAATAGATATCTATGTTGTTTAGACTACCAGAAATACTTGTAGAGTTGAGAATGAGCAAATATATTGATTGCTAACATACTGTAGATCTGTTATTTTGTGAGTGCTTGTGTTTATTTTTGTATGCATGTAAAGAGACTATTAGAATTCCTGATGGCCTGGCATTACTTGTAGAAACTGCAAAACTTTTCATAGTTTACTCGTTAAGTTCCCTGAATTTTGTTTGTATGAGCATATTAAATCATTCTCTAATACACACATCTTCAATCTTTCTTGAGGTTGAACATGGCCTAACAAAGTGTTTGCTCTACTACAGTTTTAACGAGCATGAATTTAATGATTCTGATCATGCTGTATCATGTTTATTATACTGCAGAATGTTCAAGGTGAAGGTGCATAATATTTCACTTTAACCTTGCAACAAAAATGTTTTTGTATTATTTTAATTGCATTTAAAACTGCATCTCCTGCTTTGTAACAGCTGGCACTAGGATAAAAAAGTGCAGATAACATGTTCAAAAAGTTTTGTTTAATCAACTTTATTACTGAAACACTACTCACAAAAGGCCTACATTAGAAAATATTCATTGAAATTTGTTTGATATTCAGTTAAAGTATAATTTTTTCACATCAGAATGAAACCAAACCAGCACATTTCTATCTGTATACCATGCAATTACAGAACTTAAAAAATGTTGTTATACATATGGGTAAATCATCTTCTTCATGTTAAAAAATCAGCTCATTTTAAATTATTATTCCAGAAAAAAAGTATGTACTAATTCTAAATAGCATTAGACAAAAAACGTTTAACACACTCTTGTTGTTTGACTTTTTTTTCTCACTCAGCTTCAAAGATGTGCCTGTGGGCATAAGAAATGATATGTTAAACAAGCATGAAAGAGTGATTTCAAACAATGTCGAAAACAATATTAAACAATACTGTGTTGCAATTCAAAATTAGGATGAATGAATCAAATTCAGATACACCTAAGCAGTATCTCACCGGTCTTCATGGCTTGTTAGACACCTGAAAAAAAGTGAGGATAATTAACAAGTGTGTGGCACGCATAATCTGCTGTTTCTGCAAAACTGCGAGTTTCGCAAGTTCTCATTTTGGTTAAACACATCCTGGCTAAATGCAGCACTGAAGGAGTAATTATGTTGTCAAATCAGAGCTTTGCTGATGGCTGTGTTTTTAGCTTCTCACACATATTCATTCAAACCCACACACACACACACACACACACACACACACACACACCTGTCCTGTCTGAGCCTGCTGCTCCAGCTGAGTTTGCTGCTGAGGCTCTTGGGTTTGTGGAGGACCATCCTGAAATGGTGGGTTCTGTGTAAAAAAATGCAATAAAAGCTCACCGTGTTTCAGGATTCAGTCTTTCAGCAAATTCCAATAACAGTGCAAGTGATTATGAAACCAAACAAGTTCAAAGCATACTTGTCTCACCACAGGTGGCTGCTGGGGAACTGTCTGTGGCATAAAATCGAAGGGGAAAATCTGTATATTCACAAACATATAAAGGATCACATTCAAACAAACATTCACAAACATGTTTTTTAAATAATAATGTCAAAATGTTGAAGTAATTCCAAAAATTTACATTTGGAATTTGAGGTATCAGGGGAACATTGGGTTGGTCCTGAAATCAAAACAACATCTACACTGTAAAAACGTGATTGTATATAAAACAAGAGTATGTTTTACAAGAAAAGTTGTACTTTTTACTTTAACCTTATTCAAATTGGTTACAATATTACCATCAGCATTTTATACACATTCACAGTTTCAAAGCAAATCCTACACCAACTTGTTTTTTTTAGTGTAGTCCTCGCAGAAAATCAATCGTTACCTGACGCTGACTGAAGTCATAGGGGTAAAACTTAAGGAGAAAAACAAAACCACCAATTATTTTATTGCATCACAAAATTATGTTTATCTCTGCAATTTAATGAGACATTTGCAAAGGCTAAAGCAACACTCTGCATCAGTGACTTTATACAGAGTGCACTTAAACATCTTTAGTCTTTGATGAATTTGTCTGTTCACTCACGATTTCCACGCTTTTTCTGCCGGGAAGTTTAGGGAGAGAGTATTTGATGAACGCAATGAGAACAGAGAGAGAGAGAGAGAGAGAGAGAGAGAGATGCCACAGCGTCAATAATAGTAGTAATCATGTTCTATTCTTTTCGAATACACACGTTCTATATTGATTCAACTGATTGAGCTGAGTTTATCAAAAAAGGCAATGGTAGATGACAAGTGTTTCGCAAGCTTTCAGAGAGAAAAACTTTACTGACTCACCGATGTGCCAGCTGCTCCTCCTGGAGTAGCAGGGAATCGCGGAGGGAAAATCTATTTGATAAAAATATTAATAAATTAATAATAATAATAATACATTTAGGATGATATACAGCACATACACTATAATGTGTTGTTGTTTTTGTTGTTTATTCAGGTAATCTAAAATGTGACCATCTGTGAAATCCACGGAGGCTAAAGTCTCCAAATCGAATTATGAGATAACAAGCATCAAAGTTTGACCAACCATTAATTTCACTATGATTTTTATCTTTGAGTTGGGTTTTTGCAGCCAGGGCCACAAATGTGCGTCATGTGGTACCATCTTTTTTTATTTATTTAAATAAATTAATTAATTTCATTTAAAAAATATATTAAACTAAATGATTATTTAACATGACTCAATAAACCTGAATATATTAGGTTACACTAACCTAATAAAAGTATTTTTATGGGTTAGATCAGGTACACTAACCTAATAAAAGCAATACACTACACTATACTTTTTTTCAGGTATCTTAAATATGCTTCATGTGGCACCATCTTTATTAAAACAATAAATAAATTAAATTATAAATTACATTACATTTTGATTTAATATGACTGAATAAACCTGAATACATTCGGTTACAGAAACCTAATAAGTAATTTTAAGGGTTAGGGCAGGAAGAAATTACCTCTTCGGGTACCAAAAGGACATATTTACAGCAGAGTTAACTAAGACTAAAACCATAAAACAATTTTCTTATTTTTATTTAGTCCAGTATTTCTTATACACTTATAACTTCTTATACACAATCTTATAACTAAATTAAAACTGAAATAAAAATGAATGAAACTATATATATATTTGAAAAACAAATACAAAAAAAACACCACAACAAAATTACTGAAACTTTAACTAAATTAAAAATAAAAACTAATTCAAAATATTATTAAAAACTATAGTGGTAATTCAATTATACTAAGCTATCCTTGTTTTACAAAGTATCCTGGTACCACTTTGAATTGTTATATTTAAGGTAATAAAAAAACATAGAAAAAAATTGCCCATACGATTTCCATGCTGATTGGAGTGTTCAGACCAGGATGTGGCTGTGCTGGTATTCCCTGGAAGCCACCATTATTCCCCTAAAATACAAATGAAAGGAATTCAAATTCATTTAAGTGGATGCCTAAAAAGAACATGTTTAGTTCGGTTATAATTACAATGTTCAATACATGTTCTGTAACAACCTCAGGATAGTCAGTTCAACCTATAAATCATATAAACACATGTCACGGAGTAGCATGTCATCATACAGTGTAATATTACAGAGCTATTTTCATCATGAAACTGGGTGCAATGTGTTGATTATGGTTAAAGCAAAAGATTCCGAAGACTGTTATGCTGTTTATGGATATGGAAAAGTTTAGAATGTTCATGTGTGGTTAACCCCACCTGCTTCGGGTTGCCATAATGAGGGAGATAATTGAAAAACGGTGAAAGCTAGACAGAGAGATAAACACATGGGGAAAAAAGGATCAGATTTAACAGCTGGGCGACCCAGAGACATAAAAACAAGCTTTGAGAACTACAAAGACATTCCTGAGAAAAGGTTTAATGTGTACTTACTGGTGCTGCAGATACTGCACCAGCCAGAAGAAGACACAGGAGAGATGTCCACATGTTTATGGATTCACCAACCTTACACAAACAACGACGTGAGCTAAGACTGTCAAAACCAATGAAGGAGCGCTAGTGCTGCGTGATAACACAGAAACAGAACCACTAACAGTGCACAAAATGGTCAACCAGTTTTCTCACCTTGGCTGCAGGTAGAGTCACTAGCTCTGAGAGTTGTCATGCTTTTATTTGGTCTCTGGCTTAGCGCTTAGCCAATCCCTCTCAGACTAGACTTTATCATGACCTCACAGATAGAGAAAGATGGTTATTGAGAAAATGACCTGTAGTCAGACATTGTCTGCCTGTCTGTCAGCTATTATTATAATGATGATAGTCGAGGGAAGTGCTGATATGACCAGAATGCGTTTTTGAAGCTATATTTTAAAGGTACAAAATATCAGTGCTATCAAAAATAGGAACTGAGTTTGTTTTTTGTGTATGAACTTAGTGGTGTTTAATTGCAACTAAAAAACAACAATGTTAAGGTTTGGAAGAGCATTTTTTGGGATGATATTTATTATCAGCCAAACTAGGAATTGTTATTTATTTGTATTAACAGCATAATAACTGTACAACAATAATCATAACAGCACAATAACACACACAAGGAGGCAAGGAATTGATTGAACGGTTTATTATAAATCAAGATTTAAAAACATGGTAGCAAAAAAGCGTTGATTTTTATGGCTCTCATGCATCAAGCCACTGAGAAAGCACCATTTGATTGATCGTCATTATTTCTAATGCAGGAAAGGGTTTATGCAGTCAAAGCAGTTTATTTGTCATTCAGGAATTGGTGCTCAGCTTATCTGTTCATCTGTGAGAGAAGAAAAAAGAAGGCTTTAGAAATGTGTTGTATATGTAAATGTGTCTATTCTATTGTTTATGTTAGAATAAAATTAAACAAGACTAATATGTTGCTTAACATATTTACTGCAAAAAAAAATGTATAGGCACAGTTTTTACTCAGAAATTGCAAGTAAATTTCAAAATTAATAATTACCAAAGACAGGCAACAACACACTGATTAAACATGAACATTTGAAGTAGAAGACTGAAAGATGACTGAAATAGTATTTTCTTGAATAACCTACTCCAGTAATCTTTCTTTTATTTACAAAATAATTTTTTACAGCTTCGGGTCTTTCTCTATGTAAAATGTCAGTGTGAGTGACCAGTGTATAAAGTTGCATTTTCCATTGAAAAAACTGTTAAACTGATGGCATTGCAGCATTATGATGATGGATATATCGGTTAATTATTACTGAACCAACCAGTCTGGTTTAGTCATCATGATCGTCATCATCATCGTCCTTTGGAACAGGGGCCTAAAAAATACAAAAAATGAGAAATAGCCACATATATATATATATATGTGAAATTGTAATACATATTACAAATGTTCAGTTTGGACTGTACTGGGGCAGCAGGCGCAGCAGGAACAGCAGGGGCAGCTGGAGCAGCTTGAGGAAAGCCGAATGGGTACAGCTAGAAAACAGAGGAAAATGAATTCACTTCTACATAATTGGGAAGAAATGGAGTCATCGTACTGGAGATTCACATTGTGTGTAACAGTAGACAATTAAAAAAGGTGGAAACACATACAACTTCAATGCTTTCTCTGCCTCCGGGCTGGGGAATCTCATGCTTAATGAAGCCACGGACAGGTTGAGCCTGTGGAGAATAAGACAAAATGAGGACTGATTGCATGCTAAACTAGCAGGCAATAATGAATACACTGTGAAAAGAAATTAAAACTATTTGAAACTTACAGGAACTCCAGCTGCAGCCTGCTGAGCTGCCAAGAGCTGATATAAAATAAAATAAAATAAAATATTATATGTCTGAGTAATATATTATTGAGTGATGCTAAAATTAATCTATTTAACAAAGACCACACTTACAATTTCGACTTCAGAAGGTCTAGCTGCAGCGGCAGCCGCAGCAAGAGCCTATAGATCATTATACACACTTCTTATATAATACAAACAGTATTATCAAATATGACATATATATTACTTTACATGAACTATATATTCCCATATGCTATGAATCATTTCATTTAGGCTGTCATTTTAAACAAGAAATATGTATTTATTTCATGTTTGGACCAAACTGACCTGTGGAGCCAGGACCGGTTTGTACTCTAGCTCATAATACATCAATTGCTGTGGGTCAAAAATCAGGACAGTCAAAGCTACAGTAGTATCACATATTCTATTGTCATAGCTGATTCATGAATAAATATATAACAGACAAATACTGTAGATGACGTACTGGAGCACAGTAGGCCACTCCAATGACAAATGCCAGCAAAAAGAAGGTTCTCATGTTGAATGATAACGTCTGAAATGAAATGTGAAATATACATTTTTGTGAAAGATATAGTTCCATTGTTCAGTATCTTATATGTAGTCATCTACAACAGGATCTAGAACTAGAACTAGACATTCAACCCCAAACAGCAAAGTTACTGATGACCATTCATTAAATTAATAGTACCTTACCTTTGTTTAAGACTGATGAGCTTGATCAGGGATTGTTGAGGAGGATTTTGTGATACTGCTCTCTAGATCTACCCCTTATATTCGTTTTGAAAACAAAAGGCCCATAACATCAGCATCTCATTGGCTTTGGTGACTAGCCAAGTTCCTTTATAGAGAACAAAAATGCATAAATACATATTTTCTTATCTCGAAGCAAAATTTTGGCTGTGCTTGTGATTTTATTGATTTAATTATATTGAAATCTGGCAAGATACATTAAAAGTATGTGCCAGTATAGTACAAATAAATCAAACATTCCAAAAATACATTTATGGCACAGGTGATGAAATCATAATATCTGACAGCACTGTTCTCACTTGTCTAAGCTGTAAAAACCTTCTGCCTGGCTGAGCATTCATAAATAATATATATAATAAATACCAAAATAAACAAAACCACTGTACCTAAGCAATGTTTTAAATAATTTTCTATTGAATATAAATGGTTCTTGCAATATTGTGTGAAAAGAAATATATGCAGTACCCACTTTCTTTGAGTTATAATCTGGATTTACATTTTTGGGAAACGTACATTTTTGCAGTAATTTGACTTTGCTGCCTTTCATGTAAAGATTTACGAAGTCGTTTACGAAGTTTAAAGGTTTTTATGTTCATTTTTTCATGTGTTGTTTAAAACTTTGAACTTTAAATAGTTTATTGGCATTAATCTTGTCATAATTTGTATTTTTGGATACCTTTAGTCTACAATGTGCCTCCATACATTGTTTGTACTAATCAGGAACATTTATCAATAAACTGGACCTTGAAAAATTTGTCACAGAATTTAATCAAATGCTTCTATTCATTTTTAAAGTCAGTTAACAGTAGATAGTTTCCCTGATCCTCTATAAACAGGTGATTCTGTTATTCTGATGGCATTAATGATCAGGAACGCGCTACACTTTAATTCTATACTTTTTATTCACTCAGCTTGTTTTTCTCTGAGTTAAGTGTTAAGTGTGCACATTTTTCCAGTACTATTAACACCGCTGACACTTGATGACAGTTATACTGTATGCAACACAGAAGGAGCTTCAGGCTGTAATTAACTTAGTATTTAATTACAAGTCAGATATATATGTTGAGGCCCACACACAGTTCACAGTACAAAAGACAGAAATAATCTTAAACAAAATCTTTTAACATTTAGACTAATCCACACAAAGTCAAAACTTTAGTTAATATCTCTTGTGCGTAGAATAAAAGATAAAGAAACAGTAACAGATAAACAAACCAAAAAAATATATGAAAAGTACCAGAATTGCTATGAAAAATATTTAAAAGCTTCCATTATGCTGCCTTAACCCAATTTATAGAGCATTAGCATGATATAAGATGCATATTTGCAGTAAAGATTTGTCTTAGGGGTACATATCAGTGTTAGTGTTGACAGTATCAGAACGCAGTGGTGGGGACGCTGGAACGAGAGCTTCTTTGTATTCTGGTGTTGGGAATGTAGGATCACTGTGATGGGGATCAGACTGGACAGTGGGCACAACTGCAGAAATGAAAGGCCCATGATCTGAATCCAAAAGTCCAGTGTTGGCTAAGGGGTCTTCAGCAGGCAGGACGTGATCACACGGCACTTGCTCACGGTATACCAATCCTACTAGGCAGTGCTCCGTTATTTGGATGGGATACACCAGTCGCAGATATGGCATCCCCACTGGGTGGTACAGCTACAACGCTGGGTAGCTGAACTTAAGAAGTTGCCGGTGTACCAACGAAACATGCTACCTATCAGATTGTTCTATCAAAAATATATTTACATTGTTTTAAGGGTAAGTTTAGGGTAAGGGTAGGTGTGGACGGGTAGGTTTAGGGTAGGGGTAGGTATGGACATTAAAAAAAGCCACAAACCATATGAATAAGATGCTGGTAGCACAATCTGATAGGTAGCATTTTTCGCTATCGATTTGTGCTACCTATCTTTTTGATGGGAGGTAGCACAGTCTGAGCGGGTAGCACAAATCGTCAGAATGGTCAAAAAGGTGCTGGGGTGGAAGGTCTTGGTTGGTCTTAAAGGGCTAACAGGTACAACAGGTTGTGGTCCAGCTACAGGAAAAACATTGCCTCTAAGTGCAGGCATGTGCAAGTCAACACGACGCATGTATCCCATGTTCTGTGTGTATAATCCAATACATTTAAAAAAAAATAAAAAATAAAGATACAGTGGTGTCAGAAGTTATGAGAAGAAATATATCAAAGTCTTCTTTTTTAGGTCACTAATAAAATAAGAAAATATGTGACATTGACATGAATTCAAAAATTGGGGACAAACCAAATTCTAATAATATAATATAATATAATATAATATAATATAATATAATAACCAGATTAATGCTAAAAGAAGCATCTTCACTAGTGTTCTAAGACTTTTAAACATCATTGCCGTCTAATTTTACCTGAAGTTCCTCATAGCGCAATCCACCATATGCTCCAGCCTTTAAAATGCATTAACATAAGGAATTACACCCAAATAAAACATACTTATGATGAATAAATATTCCATTTGAAAGCTATTTAAATTGATTCATTTACCATTCGTTGTTGAATTTGTGGAACCATGTAAAGAAATTGATGAACCTGTGGAAAAACATATGATATATTAGACTATTTTTTCAAAAAGCTAGAGCTGCTTGAGTCCAGAAAGTTTGTGTTGATACCTGCTGTTGCTGAGGCTGGTTTAGAGGCTTGTGTTGTTTGTTTTGTGTCATTAATGGCTGTGAAGCTGGAACTGCATTAGCGGAATATTGTTGAGCACACACACACACACACAAAGAAAAACAAGTAGATAGAATAGAAAAAATAGAAAGCTAGTGTTTTTTTGTTGTTGTTGTTTGTTGTTTTTTTTGTTTGCTTTTTAAATAAAAAGGAAAATAAATAGATAAAGCAGAATTAAAATAGAATTGAAAGTGCTAGAGTTAGAGGGTCAAATAAAGATGGAACAGATGTTTTTAGTAGTTTCTTGAAGATGTTACATGCTGGAAACCAGGCACTCCATAGGAGAACTGATGATGGAAAGGGGCAAGAGAGAAATAATATAAAGTTATGAATTAGAAGACTGACAAGTGTGCAAAAACTCTAAAAGAAAGACGCAAAAATAAGTGCATTTTGGGCCAGATGATATTCAATGAAAAGACTGAATGAACTAGTTGACTCCTCTTGGGATTTATAAATGGTAAATATGCTGAGCTGACAAATTGCTGACAGAGATTTTATTAGTGTGCACACATTTTACTGATACATGAGCCAATGTATTACGTAAACTTTCTTTGTTTGGACACATCGAGTGCAGCGGGTTTCCTCAATAAATCAAAACGCTTCAGATCTGACACACAGAAGACAGACAAGAAGATTTCCTCCAGCAAAATATTTCTGATAATTTACCAAACAGTTTAAAACACAAAGGCTTGCTTGAGGGTAACATACCAAAAGTTAATTAAGTTTGGGTTTGGATCTCAAATCAGAATAAACCTGCTGAACCCAGACGGTCTGTCAACTCTTCCTGTGGCGTTATTTCTGCTGACTACAAACAAAACCACACATATTTCTGATATTGTACACTGAATGAATGATGGAAACACTCTTACTGGTGGGTTCTTTTATTGTGGTCCAAGAATTGGATAATAAAAAAACTGAAAAATACAGTAAAAATATAATACAGTGTTTCATTTATGCTAAAAACATTTTAAATTCTATATATATTCTATATACATATGTATATATGAGATTAAACCAAGTGAATTCACGAAGGTTTCTTACCTGCGGTTGCTGGGCATGAGGATAGGGTAAGTACTGGAAGTGTACTGGAAGCTGACTGAGACCAGTATTGGGGTTGGTTTGAGATGTCCATGGATTGGTCAGAGTGGGCAGCTGTGGCTGAGGACCAGAGAGCATTCTGGGAGGTTCAGGCTTAAACTGCTGCGGCACATGTTGGGCTTGTACCAACACCTCAGATCCAGGCAGTGAGGACTGTATCACTGGGGTTCCCTGCGCTGGCATATCTCCCACTGGGACTGATTCCATCAAATCAGCATTTGGGGAGATCTGTGAAAAGGTTGATTGAAAATGAATAGTATCTGAGTTACATAATCAGTGGAAGGTGACTTTCAAATGATGCATTTAGTTTTATAAATTATGAAATATCACTATTTGCTGCACCTCAGATTATTAACGCAGTAGTGCGTTCACACAGAGAAGTAATAAACATTCATTAATTAGCATGAATTAGCATGAATGAAGTATGATTTCTATAACGTAACCCTGAAATATTTCTAAACAACTCGAGTTTTAACTGGATGAACATCAGTGACTCACCGGAACTCCAGATGTTCCAGCTAGAAAACATGCGAGCAATGCTTGAAGCCTCATTTGTGTCATATAAAGATAATAAATGTGCACCATACAGCATGGAAAAATATGAAATTAATAGCTAATATTGCATGATCGAATAAAAGCCAAACACTCACTTTAAAATCCTTTGAATACAACAGAAAATTGTAAGTGGAGAGGGGTGTACTTAAACAGTGTCCTTTCCTCAAGCATCCAATCAGCTCTGGAGAAAACATGGGAAATAGGCTCTGACCTCAGACAATATAAAACCTCAGACCATAATTTAATTGTACAATCCAGAGAACACTTAGTGTCTGAATGAATCATCAAATTAACCCATTTTGAAACATTCAACGTATCCAGACGAGTTGATTTGATATATTGGTATCTATATATATATATACTATATATATAGTTTTAGTACTAAAAGTCAATGAATAAAAGATTAATTTGATCATAAAAACTATGTGTGTTTTGTGGTAGTCTGTTAGTGAATGTCATTTATTCTCACAGTGTGTACATTTTACCATAGAAACGTGATAGCATGTAAGCATCAGAGAACGAAGAAATCTGCTTTGTTTCAATAAATCACAACGTTGTGTTCACCCACACCAAAATCCTTTGTTTCATCTGAGGTTCACTGAAATCACTGATTTCGCCTTTCCAATGTTGATTAAAGCAAAACCACAGTTAGCTTCTGAAAAGGCACTTTGGTTCA